ATCTTCCGTAGAGTCTATTTCTTTCCTTCTTTTTCAATTTAGAGGAGAAAAGTTGTAATAAATACCATTCTGCCTTGATCCTAAAATCATTCACAAGGTTGTAGAGGTTTATAAAGTTTTTTTTGTTTCTATAATGGGTAACAGCTTCATCAGAAAAATAAAAAATTATTTAAATTTATCCGGCAATAACTAAAAATTTTTTGATTAATTGATATAGAATTAACTTGTTATCAATCACAGAATAATGCGTATAACATATTAACGTATTAAATGATTTTAATCGAAAGGAATTGCAGTTACTGGAAATTAAATTACTTTTTTTCTCTTTGTAGAAATTTAAATTATTTTGGTGAGAAATAAAAGATGTTTATAAATTTTATAAAATTATGACAGGTTGTTGGAATTAAATTAATAAATAAATTGCATAATTAATACCTAAATTCGTAGAAAAATGGTGATGCAAAATTATCAATTAAAATGACCACTGTTCTTGTAATTAATTTTAAATATGACTTTATGTTAAATATAATTACTTAAAAATTTTAAGATTAAATGTTGAGAGATTTTATTATAAGAGTTTATTTTTGATTGATTCTTTATAGGATATGATAAACATTTTTAAAAAAATCGAACGCGTTCAACGTTCATTGACAAAAATCGAACGCGTTCACGTTCACGTTCAAATTCAAAAAAAGGAACGCGTTCAAGTTCATGAACGCGTTCATGCGTTCAAAATTTTATGATAAATTTTTTTAAAAATTTAATTTAATATAAATAAATGCCTTATATTTTTCAACACAATATATTAGCCATGATAAAAAATAATAGTTTTATTTTGATAATATAATTATAAATACAATATAATAGAGCGATAAAAAAATAAATTTATAAAAAAATTTTCTTATTAATTTTTAATAATAATTGCTTTTCAAAATTTTCATCTGATAGGCATGAACGCTTAGCAGTTAATACAGCGTTAGCTATACTAAAAACTATTGAATTACCTTTTGATTTTAAAACAGTGAAATATTTTTGATATTTGGGCCATGGTAATTCTAATTCATCTAATATTGAATTTTGATTTTCAGAATCTGATGATAAAATATTTATATCCATGCAATTAATAAACTTTAATCTTATCTTCTCTAGCAGTAGCACGTTATGGTACGTTAATTGCAATATGAAAGAGGAAAAAGTAAAAACAGCTGATTAAAAAATATAAGACTTTTTTGTTAAAAAATTGGATTAAATATTAATTTTTCAAATAAATAAAAATATAAGAATTTTTTGTTAAAAAATGCGGATTAATATTAATTTTTCAAATAAATAAAAATAAAAAGTGTTTTTAAAATTGAACGAACGTAAAATTGAACGCGTTCATTCAAAAAAACGAACTTCGTTCACGAACGCGTTCATTTTGAACGCGTTTGTTTACAACACTAGATATGACAAATATTTTTTTATGATACAAACTATTATAAAAATTAATTTATTAAATATATTCAAATGATAAAGGAATAAGATATTAATAATTATATTTTCATTAATCTATCAATAGATAATTTAAATCCTTTATTTAATAATATTCAAAATAATTTATATAAAATTTTAAATTTTAATAATATTCAATCCGCAAGTTAGCGTTATTGTTTTGAAATAAGATACCGCTACATAGAATGAAATAATTTAGAGTTATATATCAGATTTTACTCACCAAAGCATTAAAGATTCATTTTATTGACCCATTAATACTTAAACAATATTAAATTGTCCTAAAAAAATCTTCATAATCCCAAAATAAATTTTCATAAATTACCACCGTTTCTCCTCTATTCAAGGTATAGAATAGTTTTGATGCCAGCAACTAGTGGTGATAAATGGTTCAATTTTTGCAGGTTTTGAACCGACTCCAAAATAATTTGGATGAAGATTTTAGAAAACTATAATCTTAGCCTCAATCTAGGTTTAAACTTAAGGGTACCATAACCTTAAAAATACTCTTGCCTCATGGCTTAGCGATATTTCTTTCTTTCTTTCTTTCTTTTTTTTCAATTAAGAGAAGAAATAAAAAATAGAAATAATCAAAATTGATCTAGCATCAAAACAGTAAAATATATAATTATCCAACTTACCTTTAAAAAAAATATTTAAGATTATTACATATTTATTTTTTATTTAAACAAGTTGTATAATTGTATATCTCGATTTATTTGGAATTGAAAATAAAACAACCCATAAATTTCATATTAAAACGTAAATTTTTTTAAAAATACCTCCCCGTATTTAAAAAAATGTCGTTTGACTCATGAGGGTAATTTAAAAAAATCTAAACAAAATTTTAACCTTAATCCTGATTAGGTCAAATTGAATTTAAATTCTATATTCTCACCTACTCTGGGAGTCCAGCGGGCCCGGATCTAAGCACTACTCGTATCACTAAAAAAATAAATAGAAATTAAAATAGTTGCGAGTTATATTCATGGCCAGTTGTGAATGAAAAGGAATGGTAATGATTCAGGATTTCTCTACCCCTCTATGCGTAGTAAAAATCCTTCTTCCAAATACCAACTTAAGAAAAATCTTCAATCATACTAAGTTCTGTTACTGTAATAAATATTAAGTATCTCAGGAACCACTTAATTATATACTGAAATTCGTTTTTTAAAAATTGAACTTAATTATTTTAAAAATATTTAAATTTTGTTTGGAAAATAATAATAAATTACTAATACATATAATCTTATTTTAATTAAATAAAAGGTATTGTAAATAATTTATTACAAATAAAATTTAAAAAAAGCGACATAACTTAATAATAGAGACAAGCTTTGCAAAAAAAATAAAAATTTTATCATTTAATTTCCTAAATAAAATTTAATTTTATGATGAAACATAATTTATATGTGACTTATTTTTTGGTATTAGAAAAAGCTCATAATTTTTAATTTTAGTAGATTAAAAAGATATTACGGAAACATAAATATCTATTATAAAACCAGTTTGCCGTAGGAAAAACAATAATTCCACAAAAAATATTTAAAAGTTACATATATTTTAAATTTATTTAATTATTTTTTTTCATAAACATTTTTGGACCTTAAAATATATATATATATAAAAGGATTAAATACATATATTTTATCATAAAATAACAATTATAATATTTTATAGGCCATGTAGAGTATAACCATTGTTTTAAATCAATCGTATATTCAAGGTTATATAACCAGGGGATGGGAAGAGGCATAAAGGAGATAGATAAAGGAGAACCCCTTTTTCAGTCTCTAATATTATTCAAATGACGATGACACATTTATAACTACTCTTTCCAATTTCAAATACCTTCTAGTATCATATCCCCTTCCTCTCATAAAATAATTCCCCCACCCCATGTTAATTCATAGTCTATGTGCCTAGTAATTCTATGTTGCGCGTTCATTGGCAAAAATGACATCGCCAAGGGAAAGTCAAAGAATGTGCTCAACGCGTCTTATTGAGGAAAATATTTTTTAAGGCAAGGGATCGCTTTTCGAGCATCATAAAATTTAAATATATATTTATGCACCGATTAGGCATTAGCGACCACTGATTAAAATTGATTAATATATATGAATTTTCGTTTTCTATTTAGGAATTAATCCCATGATTAAGATATAAAAATCTGCGATCTATTGGTTTTCAGAAGAATGACGACAAAGACCAAGCTTGATACAAGGCCCTCCAACATGAATTCTATTATGTATAAAATAATTAACATATACATTTCAGTATTTTTTTGAGAATGTTTGCATCCTATATTAAAAAAATTTTTATTACGAAAAACCAGAATCAAAAGAAAAATTTATATATCATTATGGGTATCATTACCTCTCAGGGTCTTTCCCCATTTACATTTCTTATAATCATTATTCAATTCCCGAGAATATTCATGAAAGTATTTTTAGAGGAAAATAAGGGCCCCTTCTTTTTACTATTTTTTAACAATAAAATAATAAAAAAATAATATAAACCTTTGAAATTAGGTTTTTAAACAGTGTCTACATGACAGAAAATTTGCTGTGTGCAAACACCTTCTACAAAATGTAACCAAAAAAATTTTCCAATCATTAAACTCTTATAAAACGACGTCAATAAAAAAAATTCTTTCGAATGTTATTTATAAAATATATGTATCAACCAGTTCTAAGATTTACTTCATTTAAATTATATATCATAATTAGTGTTGTTAAACGGCTTGAGCCGATTTTTTAAAACGGCTAACTCAATATTTTATATTTTAGCCAGGAAAATATTGCCTAGGCCTCGAGATTTCGAGAATATATGTTTAAACCTTTGTTCCTTTTATGACCAAAATCTACAGGCGTGGGTAATATTTTTCTGGATGAAATATTGAGTTAGCCGTTTTTAAAAATTGGCTCAAAACGAGCCGTTTAACAACACTAATCATAATAATAGTTATAGTTATAGTATGTATATATATGTATACATGGAATAATTTTTGATTAATTTTAATAAATATAAATTAGCCCATTAAAATTTTCTTATGATATACTATATTTGCATTTAATTCCTTCATGCTCCTCTCCATTTAAGTTTGGTCCATTTGTGTTACAGGGTAAAATTAAATAACCCCTTAACTAATAATTAATAACGTCTAGTTTTAATATTTTAAAATATTTTGGTGATAAAAAAAAGTTATATATTTATATTTGGTATATAAATCTAAAATTCTTTGGCATTAAAAATTCACTTTTTGTATAATTTTTTATTATTGAGTTTTTGAACTCCAAAATTTTTTTTCAAGTTTTATATAAAAAAAACAATAATGCCATTATGAACCGACTTTAAATATTATAATATATATTTTTAAAAACTTTTCAAATTAATATTATTTATTAAATTACTCAGCAATATAAATAAATATATATTTTTCTTGGATTCTAAAATAATTTCTAAATAAACTCTCTTAAATCTCTTTTATTTAGTATTTATAACTCTTTTAATGTCAAAATTTAATCTCCGTACTATGTCCTCTTTCGATGATATCAGAATCTCAGAGGACCCTTCCCTTCATCATCGAAATTCTCTCTCCAAAAAAGCGAGTTCATTGAAACAAGAGAGTGCAACAATTCTGAAAAATTCTTTTTACACAGGTCAGAATTCATTCTAGAAGTGTAACTCAAATGTTTTTGATTTTCTCTGTAATGTATAATGTTAATTTTAATAAGATCTTTAAAAATATAATTTAAATAATATATAAAGTAAACAAATAAATTATATAGGATATACATATCCTCAAATTTTACTCACCCCAAAAAATTATAAATCATTTAAATAAGGAATTTTTTTGATATATTGGGCCTTAAAAAATAATTTTTATATTTGTATGAATAATCAGAGCATTATTTGATTTGATTCGAAAATATTCGTTTAAATATTTTCAAAAATGAAATAATCAGAGATAATATCATATATTTTTTGAATAAATTTGTAAAAAATTTTCAGTTTAACTTAAAATATATATCATTCATAAATATTAAAACTTAAATTTTTTTAAAATTTTATGTTTAAATTTGATCAAAACCGCCTTTAATCTTCAAAGATTTAAAGATTTTTGCTCAAAAGATTTTTTTTCAAACTCTGGAAAAATTAGAATTTTAGAATTTAAATAAAATTTTAAGTATTTTTTTATTTAAATCTAAAAGTGATTTATGGATGTGTAAATAAAATTAAAAAAAATAAAATGTTCCATAAGTAACATGTTAAAATACTTACAAATAATTTTAAACATTTAAATAAGTTTTAATATTAGGAATAGTTTCAAATATTCATGATAAATTTTGAATAATACTAAAAATTTCAAATACAATTTTGAATCATTCGATTAAATATTAATGAATAAAAAATGATTTGACGATTAATGTATTTTATTTATTTGTATTCGTTATAAACGAATCGATCAAAATCCCACCGAATATAACAAATTATAACGAATAATTTGGTTTAGGTATAAACAGAATAATTGGGAATTTACTAATCAATTATCAATAATATTCTCTTCTTATATAAGATTAAAATGAAGAATATGGCGAATTTACTAATAAATAAAATATTATGATTTCAGACTTAAATAATTATATCAGCTTATATTAAAAATTAGGTCTTGTGGGAAATATAGGCTAAGGCAAAGTAGTACATATTTGTATTTCACTGAACTGGTCCTATTAGTTTATTATTATATAATAAAATTCGATATATTTGTTAACGGGCATAATTATCTATCCTAAAATCATAGTTTTATTATTTATTAATTTAACATCATATATTTATGGCCATTTCCAAAAAGAAGGTTTTTTTCAGAGCGGTTTTTGAAGCATGTTTTCTTCGGAGGTAAGGTTACTGTTTTTTTTAAATATTAAATATAAAAAAATTTAATTCGGAAAATATATAAGATTGGTGTTATTTAGAAAAGAATTTGTGGCAAAAACATTTATAAATTCATCCACTCAAACCCATTGTGGGGCATCTGGATCACACTTTTTGGCATAATATTTAAAATATAAAATTTTAAATTATAACCTTAGACTTAGCTCAAATACTATCTTAATCAACGCTGTTTTTTAATTATATTGTGAACTTCTAATTACAACCTACAATTAGTAAAAGAATTTAATAGGGGAAATGTGCCATAAATGCCATGTTAGACTGGCCACCATCCTTTAACTTTTTATCTATTGACCGATTTCTACCAAAATTGGTGAAAATGTGTATATTTATGATATGTACCTTGCCTAAGTTCATTTATTGAATAGAGAAATCCAATAAAAATATATTTTATATAAACTGCTTTCTCTTTCTAAAAAAATCAGGTTACACATATTTTTGATTGATGAAAAAATTACTAATTTAGATAACTGATATTTTATATAAATATTATCCTTAGGGATTTAGCATTATTCACACAAAAAATTAGACTTTAAAAGTTTTATTTAATTAACATATAAAGGCTCTTAATAATAATAGAAAGGTTAGTATTGTCTGGCCATATATTGATTTGCCACAATTCGCACATCCACATATTCATATTGAAATAAAACGCCAAACAACATTTGGTGAAATTTCAAATGATGAACAAACTTAAGAATGTTTAGCAAAAAGATAATTACCATTATATAAATGATAATAAATTGAGATATTAATAATTAAATTAGTGTATAATTAATTTTTAATAAAAGTAAAAAATGTAGAAATATTAACATATATCTTCTACAAGTATTTCATATTGTATTATTTCATATTTATAATAAAATTCTTAAAAAATATATTATGGCCAGTTAACACATAGTATATGGTGATCTACATCGGGCTTAATTTTTCAAGCCCAGCCCGAAATTTTTTTGAAAAAGTATTGCCGGCCTGGCCCGAATCCGAAATTTAAAAAAGTTTTGTCTGCCCGACCCGAAATTTTTTCAAAAGAAATTGACTGGCCCGACTAGAATTTATTAAATATATAAATTCATTTTTATAATTACTCAAAATAAAAGATATATGTTCTATGGCGTTTAGTTTTTACAACTAAAATCAAATATTTTTATTTTACATAAAAAATTGAACATAAAATTGTTAAGTTGAGATATATTTATAAAAAAATTTTAAAACCTCCTACTTTTGCAGATCTCTGATTATTGACTGGCCAGAACAACTTTCGACATAACCCTCAGCTAGCTCATGAACTATTTTAGATAGAACTTTGATTCATATTTTATTTTAAAGATTAATAATTAGGCTACACATTGATGTAAAATATATTTGGTCTAATACCTTTTTTTCAAAAAAGCAAAAACATGGCCATTCAACATTTCACCTACTTATTTCATTTTCATGTGGAATTGACCATTTAAAAAATAAAAATAGAGGCACAAAAAAATATAAGAGTTGAGATTTCTTTCACCTTTAGCGAATCTCAAAACAAAGAATGAAATTTTGTAGTATTATTTTTAGTTCAAAGCAATAATGGAACGATAGATTCAGTTATAAAAATATAAAAATTTTGTTAATAGTCAACCTCTATATATTTTGGAAGACCTTTAACATCAAAGCAGGTGTAAATTGCAAAATATGATAGATTAATTTATAAATTTTAATTTGCACCTTTTAATTATAAAAGGGATCTTCCCATCCTAGTAATTATAAATTACTATTACACCTAACCTTAATATAATTTTTTTTTTTAGATTTTTTTAAAAAATCGTTCATACGGGTTTTTGATATAAATTATATAACTCTTTGCCTTGTATTTTATTTTATATTCCTATATAACAATTATTTTGATTTATAACTTTAAAAAGAAAAGAAAAAACGTCAGAAGATAAGGCTTAATTAATTGGAATTATTTTCTCTCGTTCTTTACACAAACCACTTATTATATATTATGGTCTTCTAACTTTGAAAAAAATAATTACTATGTGTATTTTGATTTTACATGATATATTTTTTTTGGTGTTATAACCTTATATAGTCACAAATTGATGACACATCAATTAAATTAATTGAAAAAAAAAATGTATATAAGTATACCACTAAAAAAAAAATTTTTAATCTAATTTTAAGCATTGAAAAACAATTATTTTTTATATTTTATTTTAGTATATCACGGAATAAGTGAATAGAGAAATAAAAAGATTTTAGAAAATTGCTAACGCGATTTTTTTTTTGTTTTAAAAATAAAAGAAGTCCAAAAAATAATAATAAAAAAAAATTTGGTTTCTTTCGAGATTACCACTTTAATCTATATGCCTCCTTTGCTTTTAATTGAATTTATATTAATTAAAAAAAATATATTATGAGTCAAATTATATGACTATTAAATATAATTCCCAAATGATTGTTCATACATTATCGATATTTCAGTTGTTAAAAGGGTGGCAGGGTCAACCCCCCTCCCAGGATGGTCAGAGTTACTCAGGAAAACTGATTAACTATTGTGTATTCATAAAAAATTTCCAAAGCCATTAGAAAAACTGTTCTCTAAAGAGACCATATACAGAATTTGGCTAAAATTTATTAATTTCTAAAAAACATATACTTTGTAGCCAGTTTTCCTCAATTATATTATTTTATTCAAATTAAAGTTATATAATTATTAATTTAGATTTGCTTCCGTATAACAACGATGGCCCTAACGGGCATAGTACAAAGATCACGGAATTATTTTTGAAACAAATTTTTGACCTAGTCATAAACTACATCAATTACGAAAATAACAGGGATTCTAAGGTTTTGGATTTTACCAAACCCGAGGATTTGATGAAACTGATTGATTTCAACATTCCAGATGGTTCCACAAATAACGAAGATACTAGTAAGAAGGGCAAAAAACATATTAAAAGTTTGTCGGATGTGATAGAGCTCTGCAACTTAGTACTTAAATATCAAGTTAAAACAGGTAACCTAATTTAATATTAATTATTACTCATCCTTCTTGATAACATATAGGCGGTGTTAATTTTGTATAAGGTAGGGGGTCATTTTTATAAAATTCAAATTAAGAGTATTATAACGTAAGAGACGTCACATACCTTTTTATTTATTCAGTGGATGCTTAAGTAACTAAATTTTTTAATTATAGGGTACTCATTTAAAAAATGGTCTAGATAAGCTAATTTCAAAATTTGATATAATAAATGCTGCTGTTTAATCAATTTTAGGGGTGCTTTTGAAAATACTTTAGGAACATATAATCATTTTAAATTATTTTTTCGGTAAAATATAATTATCCAAAATTATAAACAGATTTCTATTTATAAATTATAAATGCAATCTCTTTACATAAACAACAAGTTATAACGATAAAGTATTCAGCTATAATAATAAGCCCAAAATATGATATATATATTTATGCTATCATTTTATAAGGGCATCCCCGGTTCTACAATCAATTAACAAGTGGATTAGATATCTTAAGTTTAGCCGGAGAGATTTTAACCGCCGTGACTAATTCCAACATGTAACAACTCATTTTTATATAATTTTATGTTTAGTTTTAATAGCATTTAAATTCTTTAATAGGTATATTCGTATTTTTATACATTTATAATTTTATGTTATATCAGTTGATTACCAACTATTTTCTCGCATAATTATTAGTCATTTGTAAAAAGAAATTGACTACGTTTTTCATTTTTTAATATACTTTCCATTCAGGATAGAAGTTGATTTTTAAGAATATGAATATTGTAAATCATTAACTACAAGAAATATCTATAATATCTATATATATTTTTTTTAGGTTCACATACGAGATTTCCCCGGTGTATGTCCTCATGGAACAATTTGTGATTAATAAAATGTGCGAAATCATTGGATTTCATAATGCTGATGGGATATTTTCACCTGGTAAATTGTGTTTATAATTTAATAAAAACTTGATTCACTTATTAAAGGTGGAACTATCTCTAATTTGTATGCTGTGGTATGTGCTAGATACTGGTCTAACCCATCGACTAAGCAACGGGGAAATTTTTCATTGGATAAACGTTTAATTATTTTCACTTCTCAGCACGTAAATATTATTCAACAATTTATATATTTTAAAAATAATATATGAATATAAAACTATCAATCGAATAATGAAGAGCCATTATTCCATCAAAGGAGCTGCGGCGGTGTCAGGAATCGGAACAGATAATCTAATCATCATTGAATGCGATGAAAAGTATAATCTAAATAATTCAGAAAAAATTATAATGAATATAAAAAAATAATCATATTTCAGAGGTCACATGTTGATCAAAGATTTGGAACAAAAAATTATAGAGCATTTGAAAAAAGGGAACCGTCCGTTAATGGTTAACGCTACTTCTGGAACCACGGTTTATGGGAGTTTCGATTTATTAGAACCTATCGGTGATATGTGTCGCAAATACGGTTTATGGTTTCACGTGGACGTAAAAATCATAATACCTTCATTTTTTAATTGCCTTATATTTTTACTAAAAATAAAAATTATTATATTATGATATAATTTATATTCTTTATAGGAAGGATAAGAGTTAAATTTATTTATACATAGGGGGCTCGTTTATGATAATGGCAAATATTGCGATGCCGCTTGAAGCGGTGCAAAATTTAAAACAGAGAAACTTTTACGCGAATTTTTATCAGTGCTAATAGGTTTTATAATCGAAACCAGATGAACATTCGCGAATACTATAGCGCGAATACTATAGCGCGAAGACTCTATCTAGATATCATGTATAGCTAAATATTTTAGCGCGAACATTTTGGGGCGAATACATGACAGCAAAACTTTTATAAAAAAAACGCTAATTTTTTTTTATAACGAAGAAATTATAACAAAACCCAAAATGCGAAGATAATATAGTGGATAAAACTATTTAACAAATTTATTACTACGAAGTTAATATCGTTGAAAACCATAGCGAGGAAGCAATATCGGAATAATTAGTGTCTATTTTATTAAACATTTATTTTAAAAACCATATTAATTATATGTTTTTTAAAAATAAGTTGAAAGATCGATGATATCGCTTTTAAATAATTTTAACCTTAATAAATTGTGATAAGAATTCTTGAGTTTAGAATTGGCTTGAAAAATATATTACATAAATATAATTTATGATGCTACCCTATATATGCTTTTCCTTGAGGTTCTATTTTATAAGAGAGCGCAATAAAAACCCAAGTTTTAAGAATATATTATTTATTGAATTCATTATTTGATCTTTAATGGTGAAAGTCTGGCTGGCGCCAATATTTTGCCATATTACTAATAAGGCAAAATAAGTTATTAGTATTTAGTATTTCACCATTCAGTTTTGCGTCACTAAACTAAAACCGAGTTATATAAAAAGCTAACTATAAACTATAACGTCATGTCTTATAGATTGTATTTATCTGATTTTGAATCGCGATTCAAAAATTAATTGCATCTATAGCATTTTCTGTTTTCATATTAATTTGTGTTTAATAATCTAATCATTTATATTCCGATATTGGGACACTGGACAAGTATCTAGTGTCGTTAAAAAGCTCGATTCGGGTCTATTTTAAAAAAAGATCCAATTAAGATTATAACTAAAATAACATTATGTAAGCCAAATGATTTTGCTCATAGCTGGCAAAAATGCTTGGACATTTATTTACCGAATCTCGATTACATAATAATATTTTAGCTAGAATCTTAATCGGGTCATTTTAAAAAATCTACCCAAACAATACTACAAGTATCAAATCAATTATAAATTCCTTATAATATTGTCTAAATTTTTACATTATAAAAAGCAGAGACCTGCAGGCAGGGACTTATTTTAATTTTTTAAATTTACCCGGGCCGGGCCTGAAAAATCTTTTAAAAAAATATCCGAGGCCTTATATTTTAAAACCAAATATTTGAAATCGCCATTGTTAGCTGTAAAAATCAAAAAAAAAATATTTTATAAAAATCCGGACCATGCCTGAAAATTTTTTATAAAAAATAACCCGGGCTGGCCAGGAAATTATATAAAAAATAACCCGGGCTGGGCCGAAAATTTTTTTAAAAAAAATATCCGGGCCGGGCGGGCCGTACAAATGGTACCTCTGCAGGTCTCTGATAAAAAGGATGAAATATATTTAAAATTAAACAATATGTTAAAGATTACAAGGGATAGTTTTTAAATTTACTTAATTTTACTAATTACTTATCAAATCTGACAGATGGGATTAAAAATAATTTCACTGAGTTGATAATTCTTTATTATACTTTTAAGTTCCCGGAATTTAGAAAAAGGAACAACAATTTACTTGAAGAAATAAGAAATTTGAATAAAATGAGATTCACTTTTCTTAGAAACAATAATGCATTAAATTTTTTTTAAAAAAATAACTTAAAAAATTTTAATAAAATATTCTAAGAAAATCAAAAAATTTTACTTAACAAAAATCGTCGATGATATTTTTTTAAAAAACTTACAAAATAAGTAAAAATTCTTCGTTTTCAGTATTTTTAATCCTGAATTAAGTAAGAAAATTTTTTAAGCATTTCAGATTAAATTATTTTCAAAAATCATGTTATTAAAATGGGGGGGGGGCGTAGTTAGATAAATTTATTGGGGAGGTCACATTTAAGCCAACTTTTTCTAATTTAATTAGCAATAAGTAACGAAATATCCTTAAAACATTTAGTGGTTGTGATTTATGAATTCATGTGGGTAAATTATTATTTATATTGTTTATCTTTTAATAAATATATTATCAGTATATACATTATTTCGTGGTAATGCTTTCTCGATAATGACAACTAAAATACATTCGTTGTAAGAAAAAAAAATTAGTTATAAAGAGCTTGCGATAAAAGTTTTCGTTAAAATGAATTCACGGTTTTGGGTTTCGTTGAAGGGTTTCGCGATATTATCTTAGCTCTTAAATTCCTTCGCAATAAACAAAATTATCGATAAAAGCTTGGCTAAAATTTGTTTCGTAATAAGATTTTTGCCTAAATGACCTGAAACGAAGCTATCGTTTATCTATGAATACGCATAGTTTATGTCTCCACTATAGGCGATGCATTAGTTTTCTCGAACAGATTTAGCCAATTAAAATGTTGGGCAAATTTTTTTTTATATCAGCTTCGATATTTGGTTCTTTTTAAAAAATGTTATAAACGTTTTTTTTGTATTATTCTTATAGGCGTCATGGGGTGGTGGAGCTCTATTGTCACGTAACCACAGAAATTTATTGAAAGGGATAGAAATGTAATTCTTTCCTAATATCTAAATAATTTTCTAATTTTATTTTACAATACAGGGCAGATTCCGTTACTTGGAACCCTCATAAATTAATGGGTGCTTTATTACAATGTTCAGCTTTTCTAATCAAACACAAAGTTTACCAAAAAAAAAAATATTTGATAAAAAAATTTTTTTAACTCAATTTTATTATATTTTGATATTATATTTATACCTGATTGCTAGTCTAGTTATTTGATGTGCTGCATAATAATGAATAATATTATAACATTACTGAAATGATCGAAATTGGATTTTAAGAATAAATTAAGCTCTCAAAAGCTTAATTTATGAATAAAAATTTTGCTGCCAAAAAAATAAAGAAAAATAGGAAATGGCTTTGGATATTTAATTTTAATATGTAATAAGGAGTAAAATATTACCAGAAAAAAAACGAAAATATTCAGGTTTGGACAAATAGCCTAAAAATTAAAATCATTTTTTATTTTAAATAATATGAATAAAATATAGTGGAAAAGATACTCAATTCAAAATCGCCATTATATCGTTTTCTATATATAAATAAACTTAGAAATTTAACGAACGAATAGGAAAAGCTCTGAGTTATCATCTTGAATTGATTTGTATTTTTTAAAATGAAATTGTTACATGTCGTGTTGTTAAAAGGCTCATTTTAAGCCGATTTTTTAAAACGGCTAACTAAATATTTTAGTCAGAAAAAATTATGCCTAAGCCTCGAGATTTCGTTAATATATGTTTAGACCGTTGTTCCTTTAATGAGCAAAATCTTCAGGTTTGCTTAATATTTTCTGGATGGAATATCAAGTTAGCCGTTTTTAAAAATTGGCTCAAAATGAGCCGTTTAACAAAACTAGTTACATGCTTAATTTATAGGGCCTCTTATATGAGTGCAATCAAATGTGTGCAGACTACTTATTTCAAAAGGATAAACCATACGATGTTAATTACGACACCGGGGATAAATCAATTCAATGTGGTAGACATGTAGATGTTTTAAAACTATGGATTATGTGGCAGGCAAAGGTTGAATTCGAATATTTTTTTAAAAAAGATGACAAATGTATAATTAAAATATTTAAAGGGAATGTTTGGATTCGAAAAGCAAATAGATTATCTATGGGATATGACCAAGTAATTAAATTTTTACTAAAGTATAAATTCTTTAATAAAAACAATATGTAGATTTTTTGTGGATGCAATCAAAGATCGAGAAGGTTTCGAATTAATAATTGAAGAAGTACGTACAATTGTTAAAATGTATTAAATGGATAATAATGACTAACATTATATTTTCGCATATTTTGATCTGGTCCGCCAGCTCAGTCTAAAGACTCTAGATATTTAGCCATTAATGCCCATCTTCCTCCCCAGATTACTAAAATATGAAATGAAGATTTGTTAATGTTAACAAAGGGATATCGCCTCTGAGTTATCCCATAGATATTCAATGTGTACCCCCCCCCCTTCTCGTTAGTGGGTTCTTTAGCTGGGCGCGGCCTAGATCTAAAAATTGGTCAGCAGAGTAAAAAGACTGAAGGATCTATTTTAAAAAAATTTTAATCTACTAGTTACAAACAATTTAATTAATAAGACCTGGATATTAAACTTGATGTAGACAAATCTATGAATAATGACTAAACACCAAACAGAAATTCTATTACACGAGAAAATTTTTTTGATAATAGATGGAACTAAGAGAAATTCTATATATATATGGTAATGGGCAAATACTGCAAAAAAAACGAAACCAAATAACAGCTATAAAAACGGAAAAAATCTTAGGAATAAAAATACATCAGAAATAAGACTTGGGGAAAAAAAATAGTGGATAAATGGTTTCAAAATTGATATTTTAAAATTAAAACAACTAAAAGCAATAATATTTAAGGTCATGTATATTATTAAGCTTTTACCATGGTAGAGCACAATTCTCCCGAGACCCGAATAGGGTGGGACTTGACTTGAGCTTAAAAATGTAAAAAATTGGACAAAGGGCTGGGGCATTTATAGAACTTTGTCCCTGAAAATTGTTATTCTTTAGAGGGCATACTTGATCCATAAAATAAAAATAGATCGAACAGGATTGGACCGATATTTCATACTTTCTTACTATCAATTAACTATTATTTTACTTTATAAGCCTGAATGCACAAACGTATGTTTTTGGTATTTGCCTCCATCAATCAGGGATATGAAAGAAAGTGAAGAAAAATATGCCTTACTAGAAAAGGTTTATTTTTAAAGTTGATATTCTAAATTTTTATTTATTAAAGACTTTAGCGATGATGAAATAAGTATAAATTAAAAATTCTGATAGAAAGTGAATGCGTTTAATTTTTAAAAGATTATGTGCAGAACATCTTAATTTATTTAGATCTATCCCTGCCATTTGAATTGATTTAGGAACATTATCTATAATTATAGATTTGATTTCTATTAATTATCTACCAAAAGTGATCTCCAACCTAAACATAATTCTTGCTAAATTATCGGACAATTTTGCATATTCTATATTTAAATGAAAATTCTTCTGTTTATTTTAGTGTCTCTGATTTAAAGAGTGATTGTAATATAACCGTAAAACATTAATATCAATCTATGAGATGTTTTTATATTTAAAAAATTATATTTAAAAAGGAGCTCAAAATTGGTCCTCATTAACTAAATAATGTACCTAAGCAATACATTGCTATAGATGATATGAAAATTGATATCGCGCTTTAATTGCTATTTTAATATATAAAAGTTTGAAATAAAAGGTAAGGAGAGGAAATATAAACTTGAGAAAAAAACTGAGGTCATTTTATGAAGTATAACATAATCTCTAACACTCGACAGGAAAGAAAATTTGGTTCAAAAGAGCAAATTTTATCATAAACCACTCGTATTTTTTAGATTTCCTTAATAATAATCAATATATATTTATATTTATCTATGTCCGTAATGATTTAAGATATTAAATTTATCATTTATATAAATAAATAGGGATTCAGGTCTATGAATACATCTTCCATTTTAATTCATTTATGATTAGTTGACTGACAATTGGTTTAGTTTAAAATTTTTTATATACATTTTTTCTCCATTATTTTTTTTTTGGTTTAGATTAAAACACTGACATCTATCGTGCATAAATATTGATCCAATTTATCAGATCCGATTATTGTTTTTTATAGGTCCGAGTTGGGTATTAATTCTTTTATAAGTCCATGTCTGATCTAAAAAGGTAATGAAAAAATATTGGACTGCAAATAAAAGGTAAGATTTTTCTTCTATGGCAAACCGGAAAAATTATGATCAATATAGGACTCAGAATCTATACTCGGATAAAGAATGTATTGAATTACGTTAGTAACATGAATTTCTTAGATAGAACATTGACCGATAATTTCATTTTCATTTTTTTATCATTTCTTTTATTAGGTTGCCCCAATTATAAAATGTAAGATGATGGAAGATGGAACTATGATGATAGGCTACCAGCCTTTACTCGATAAAGTGAATTTTTTCAGGATGATAATCTCGAATCCGGCCGTAGTAAAAGAAGATTTGATTTTCGTAGTTGAAGAAGTCGAAAGATTAGGGCGAAATATAGTCTTTTAATCTTTATTTGTATATATAATTTTATTTTAATGGTTTATTTATTAATGTTAAGTCAGTCTAACTTAAATAGTTATATTTTATGTCTATTTTTTATTTTATATAAGTCCTTTTTATTAGGGAATGGTTTGCACCCTAAAAATATATAAATTAAATTATATCTAAACTAACCATGACTAAAAATTGGTATATTAATGTCATTTTGTAATAGCCACTAATGCAATAATTTGTATGAAATGGGTATGAACTGCATTACCTTTTATTTTCTTTACCTAATTAAATTTAGATAAATAAAAATTGTAGATTTAAAAAATAATAGTATATTATGTCTTCCTCTATATTGCGCATCTACACAAAATATTTATTAATTTAAATATGTAATCGAAAGTAAATGAATTTAAGCAATAAATACTTAAAATTATCGTAAATATTTATTATTTTCCAAATATATATTATATAAAATAGATTATTTATACACATTATTTTACTAGTAGTTAGGAGAATATATATATATACACTGCACTTTATTATACAATTTACAATTATATTATTACCTTTTATGTAAAGGTTTGTTGTATTTATCAAAATGTTTATATATAACATAAATTATTTAAATGTAAAGATATTGTGGTCTAATCAATAAAATTAAAAGAGTTCAAATCTACATCGTTAATTATTATAAAAAATTTGGAAATGGTTTAATATTTATAACATTGTTTTGTAATTTTTTTGGGAACGAGTGACCCTACCCGGGGACGAGCAAGCCTTTGCTCGGGGCTATTATAAGCTCTGCTTAATTTTCCACATAAATGTTATATATTTTTTATTATTACATAATTAATGATTTAAAGCATAAAAGTAATATATATCATTCATAAACAAAAAAACGAGAAGATTATTCACAATCTCTGTAAATAAAAAAGGTATTAAAATTGCAATAGCTTCTATGTGACCATTTACGAAATTGAAACGTCTTGGTTGCTATGATATCTGTAATAATTTTTTTTTTGCAAACTAATAATTATTTTTCTTATTAATAACATTTTTTCATTTTTTTCTTTTATTTGCTCTCTCCATGACTTTTTTTTTATGGCCTAGATGTTAAATAGCAGAATATTGTTTATTTTTGCTTCCAGGCTTTTTATAAAATGTTGTGCTTAGAAAAATTGATTCAGGGTCAAAATTTTTAGAGGTTGTTTGCTCATTTGATAAGAATGGTTGATTTCAGACTCATCTTATATAATTCTCAATGATATATTATTACTATTATTATTCTCAAAATTAACATTGTTATTATTATCATTAGTTTCCTCATAATTTAAAGTGTTGGGTAAATCATTTAAAAACGTATTATAAATTTCATCATTAATTATAGGATTAAATGGTTAAATTCCACATGATTTAAAAACCATTCTGAACTGTGGAGCACATGCTTTATGTAAAATATCCTTGACTATACCTTGTATATCTTCTTCTTCTTCTTCTTCTTCTTCTCCGTTTTATGGCGATTTCCAGGTTTACCCGGGTAGGCCAGTTTTCCCTCTGATTTTTTTTTCCATTTTTGACGGTCCTGAGCATCAATACTTGTAAGATTCATGCTTCTCATATCCGCCGTTATCACATTTGTCCACGTCATCTTGGGTCTTCCTCTAGATCTTGATCCTCCTACTTCCATCATTGTGCATCTCTTTACCCAGTCGTCTCTTGTCATACGTTCCACATGCCCATACCATCTTAGTCTATTTCGTCGCAATACCATACCAATCATTTCTATACCTAATCTTGCTCGCAGTTCCTTGCTAGTTTTTCTCTCTCTCAGAGATACCCCACACATCCATCTAGCCATCCTCATCTCTGTTCTTTCTAATTTGGCTTCGTGAGTTACTTTCATTGCCCATGTTTCACCGCCATAAACTATACAACTCCTCACACAGCTTACCTAAACTTTCCCCTTTAACTTCAGAGAAACTTTTTTATTTGTAAGAATAGACGACATCTCTCTGAACTTCTTCCAAGCTTGTCTGATCCTTGCAACAACGGCAGAATCTACACCACCATCTGCGTTTAGCATATCACCTAAATAACAAAACTTATCCACTTTTTCTAGGGTTAACCCATTGCCAATATCCAGACCACCATTTTTTAGGTTATCATTAATATGTATCCCTTTCATACATGTTCTACAAATAAAGGTCATTCTTTCCAACATCAAACTGCCTTTTTTCCCGCTACATCTTTTATGTACTCATTTCTGGCATCTGGTGCATTGGATAGAATTTCTAGCAACTCCTTTCCCACATACACCACAAGGCCACTTACCGGATTCTTCCATCTTTAGATTTTTCCCACCAATCATCACCTTTATTTTTGATGCATTCATTTTCAAGCCCTTTGCTTCCATAGTCATCTACCATTTACTAACTTTATCCCTCAATTCCCCCTCACTGTTTGCCATTAATACAAGGTCATCGGCATAGAATATCTCCCAGGGAAGTCCTTCACGCATTTCTCTAGCCACCACATCCATTACTAAGATAAATAATAATAGACTCAGCACGGATCCTTGATGAAGTCCTACCTTCACCTCAAAGCTGTCACTATCACCATGATCCGTCCGTACTGCTGTTTGTGCTCCAACATACATTGCCATCACTGCGGTAACTAACCATTCCTCCACACCGGATTTTCTCAAGGCCCATCTTGTAATCTCACGCGGCACCCTATCAAATGCTTTCTCCAAATCAACAAACGCATAATAGAGTTTCTTTTCCTTCGCAAGATACTTCTCCTGAATTTGTCTCATATCAAAAATTGCATCTGTCGTGCCTTTTCCCGATGTAAAACCAAACTGCATTTCATCAATTTTAATTTGTTCCCTTAACCGCTTCTCTAACACTCTCTCAAATACTTTCATTGCATGTTCTAAGAGTTTAATAGCTCTGTAAGACCCGCAATCTGAAGGATCACCTTTCCCCTTGTATACTGGGATAATTATACTTCTTCGCCAGTCCTCGGGAATAGTACCTTCTGTGACAATTTGATTTGCTAAATTCATTAACCATTCAATCCCTAAATCATCAAACCTTTAAACATCTCTGATACCACCATCGTTAAACCCGATGCCTTCTCTTTCTTCATCTTTTTTACTGCTCTTTTTATCTCGTCCTTGCCAAATTTACATCCTGGACCTTCTACCTTTTCACAACTAATATTATTATTCCATTCATTTTCTTCATTCAAAAGTCCTTTCATGTAAATCTTCCAGGTGTTCTTAATACCACTACTATCAATCGTCATTTTTCCTTCCATATTTTTCAAACACTTTACACCTATCACATCCTGCCTCTTTTTTGACATCTGTTTTACCATTCGAACCATATTTTTAGCAAACTAGTGTCTTTTTTCTTCTTGAGCCTTCGCTATTAATTTCTTAGCATTTCTTTTAGCCATCTTGTAAATATGATTATCACTATTTTCTTTGATATTATACCATACTTTGAAACACCTCCGTTTCTCATCCACGGCTTTCGCTACCTCCGGGTTCCACCACCAAGTCTCCTTATGTCTAGGCGGCCCTTTTGTCCATCCACATACCTCCTCAGTTGTCATTACCCAGGCTTTTCATGGCTTCCCACTTGTCATTCACCCCAGATGCTTGTGCCACCTCTGCCTCCCTAATCGCCAATGCCATATTGAATTGACGTCTAGCATTCTCCTCCTTCAATTTCCAAACCTTCAGCCTTGGGTCAAACTTTCTTTTAGTGACCCTGGCACCTTTAAGAGTGAGATCGCCTACAACTAATCCATGCTGATTTATACATTCCTCTCCCGGTATCACTTTCACATTTTTTACTATACATCGATCACATCTCCTTAATAACAAGTAATCCACAGCACTTTTGGTACTACCCGACTTATAAGTCACCAGCTTCTCTGATTCTTTCTTAAACATTGTATTACAGACAATCATATCCATAGCATCACTAAAATCTAAAATCCTCTCTCCTTCCAAATTTCTCATGCCGTAACTGAACCCTCCATATACTCCTTCATAACCCTCACTACTCGCTCCCACATGTCCATTCAGATCACCAGCCAGGATAAATGCCTCTTCATTTGCCAGTCTCGTTGTCACCTCCAATAAACGGTCCCAAAATATATCTTTCTCTTCTTCACTTCTTCCAACCTGAGGAACATATGCCGAGATAATATTATATAGCTTTCTACCAAAAATCATCTTGATAACCTATTATCTGGTTGTCTAGCCTTCTCACTTCGACTACTTTGTCTACCAATTTCTCCGCAACCAATACCCCAACTCCGGCCTTACCATCATTACCTCCTTGCCAAAAGAATTTATACTTTTCGCTAGTCTTGCCAATCATTCTGGTCCCATTTCCTTTCCATCTAGTCTCCTGTATGCAGCACACATCTATATGTCTTCTGTGCAATACATCGACGACTTCTCCCGCTCTTCCCGTCATACTCCCAACATTCCATGTCGCGACTCGATCACCCGTAAACTGGTTTCTCCACTTTTTATCAGGTCGTTTATGGCCGTCATAAGTTTCATCTTCATGAATAGTGGTTCCTGTAGTAATGCCGACTACTAATTTATAAACAATACGACTACTAATTTATATTTCAATTTATTTCAAACATCAAATTTTTATTAATTAATTTTCGAATATTCTATTCTATTTTTATATATAATATCTATAAATAATATTTTATTAATTTATTACATTTCCTTCAAACATTTTAAAATTAGATTTCTTCAATAAACCTCTTTGTAGGTTTACGGTTTCTTGATGAACAGCATAATGTGGTATTTGTATTTGTGTTTGAATTTGTTTCATTCACTGGCACAACCATTTCTGTAACTTCCAAAGAACTTTCATGATTTGGGATAACTAAACGATTTCTTAACTGATCTGCATGCTTCCGTAATGTTTTCCCGGAAGATTCAACAATATAAGAATAAAGTCCTATTCTTTCTTTAATTACTCCCTCTCTCCAACCATTGGTATTTTCATTATTTAACCATAT